CCTAAACCCCTAAACCCGAAACTCTGAACCCCTAAACCCCAAACCCCTAAACCCCAAACCCTAAACCCCTAACCTAAACCCCTAACTATCCTAAAGACTTTAGCGTTTTTGGTTCCAGGGCCAGCTGCGAGTTTGGCGATAGGGTTGCGCTCGCAGGCTTGGGGTGTCTTTCTACGAGGTTGACGGTTGAAGACTGGGTTTACAGGACCCTTTAACCCCTAAACCCAAAACCTGAAACCCTTCAGCCGCTTCAAGTCGCAAGTTACAGGTCAATCTTAAGGCCGCTAGTGCAAGGATGACAGAGCACGTATTGGGCATGGCCAATCGGGCTGTCTACTCGCAGTGCTCTCTGCACTGGCAAATGATGTAAAATCTCCATCACCGCAGGACCACCTACACGATAATTGCTGCAAAAAATGAGCTTGTTGGGGCGCTTTCATCACCATTTATCAAAATCCTAAACCCTGACAACGCCTATTTTTTCGGAAATCCCATCATCAGATATCACAATAACTCCGGCCTGGCATGTCCCTTCATCTTCTGTGCCCACCGAGGTGATGTTGGAGGAGAGCTGACCAGGCGCACAGTCTGTTCGGAGTGGGGAACCAAAGAGGCAGCTGAACTGAAGCAGGACCAGGATGTCCGTGACAAAATCGACGAAGTTCAAGCAAGCAAAGAAGCTGGTCTTGCCAAACAGGAGCCAATCGAAGCCCTTTTCCTGAGGTGCACACCGGCTCCGTTCTCACGACACATCAATGAAAAGCACGGACAGCAACAGCGCTTCACCTGTTACACACCAAAGCTCCACCTAGACCTTCTTAACACAAAAGTGGTGGCTTTCATATCCACAACTCTGACGTTCAATGCTATGCCTTAGGTGGACTTCCCTTCCAGCAACCGTGACGGTAAGGAATAATGGTTCTATGAAGGTCTTCTTATATTGCTACTATACGAGTAGTACAAGGTGGGGGGTCCAATTAAGCTATGCCTATAATCATTACCAGTAGTATTTGAGAGGTCGAGGTAGTCATCACCTGAAACAACACAAAGTGCAGCTAGGATTCGATGGTTGGTGGGTCCATGATGCGAAGACGAGATGCACAGACAGCTGGAGCCGACGTCTAAGTAGCGTTTTGTTGGCGGCTGAACCCAGAAAGATGATATTCTGTATGTTAAATACTATACCCAAAAAGAGGATGTAAATTTTCTTTCTGTATGGGGTACCATAATATCCCTGAACAAGATACGACTCATGTAGCAATAGCCCACAGTCATCCCTACTTGGATCGTCAGGGGACTTAGTAAGGAATGGAAAAGAAAGCAAAAGCTACTATGTTATTTCGGGTCTAGGGGTTCAGGGTTCGGAGGACTTAGTAAGTAGGTTAGTAATTCCTACAACTATAAGCATTGTGGTAAACTGGTTATACTCAGTATCAACCTACCTACAAAGTCCCGCTGGCCCTCCCCCTGTGCCCTAAACCCTAAACTCTAAACCCATATACCTATTAAGTACCTGCATGATCTCCTTATGATCCTTATATGCCCCTAGGGTCCCTGGGCTTAGGGTTTAGGGCTGAAGGTTTAGGGGTAAGGGTTAAAGCAAAACAGCGGACCTCAAGTTCAAATTGACGCAAACACACACAATGCGAGTTAAGGGTTTGGACCCTAAACCCTAAACCCTAAACCGCATTGAAGATGTTCCTTCGGCCAACCCAGGAGTCCCCGAAAGCGAATGCTGAGTTCCGGAAACATGACGGCAACGCGTGCAAATTGGCGCTCCCTGTGGAAAAGAAGGCCGAGCCTCAGAAAGATCGTAGGAAAAACAACTGTATGAACAGGGTTTACGGGTTTACGGTTTGGGGTTGCAGGCTTTGCACGCCAGGGAACCTCGAGGGCCCTAAGGGCTCGGGTCCAAGGCATTCGTCCAGGCATCTGGCCCCACCCACTCGCACACGAACATCAAATTTACAGGATGAATCTGCATCGCACATACCTGGCCTAAACTGCTTCAAGGGGCTTTAAGAGGGGATTATCTAGGGGAGTATTATGAGGGTTTTTCGGGGGATAATAGGAGTTCAGACTCTAGTCTGCATGAGCAGCCCTTGAGCCAGGGGCCGCTGGTGCCGAGCTTGCCTGGCGCAGGTGATACGAGAGGACTGGGAAGGTATGCAGCTGTCCGTGTTGCTTGTCTGGGTTGCTGTTAAGGAACTTAAATTAAGTTACCATAATGGGTATATATGGTAAATAATAGGGTTTCCACAATATNNCCTTAACAGCAACCCAGGCTGTCCGTATTGCTTGTTGCCACGGGGTCTCCAGTCTGCACAGGCTTGCCTCTCTTAGAACTTCAATCTCTTGAGTCCCATCCCTCGAGGAGCTGGGAAGCAGATGCTCCATAGTGGTGTTGGGGAAACCTATTGGCGGCTCCACTTTCTAAATCTAAATCCTGGCAGGGTTCAACAACTGTGACGCATCTGAGGTGCTTCTCCAAAGACACCCAAAGTTTCTGAATGGGTCCCTCAAGGGAACACCCGTACATATTCCGGTCCCGATATAACCCATCATAGTCGTTTCCANNTTCCTTCATTCCCAGCTAACCGAATTCGTGACTCCAGACCTGACCGCTCGCGAGCTGAGTCGCCAGGCTGCCCGAGCTGGCATGGGTCCCAGCCTCTGCGTGGAAACCGAAGCTGTGAGCTCCCTTTTCAGAGCTCATGGCCCAAGGTTTGAGCCCGTTTTTGGTGGTCTTCCTACAGGGACCCTGACATGTCAAACTTTGGAATGTTATGCTTATTGTTTGGAACTTCATTTTGACAGCGTTGCATACCAAATCTTCCGTGTCTTCACCATGCATCAGAGTCTTCGTATGCTGCTTCAGCCATTCTACACCAAGGATAAAGGTGTTGATGCCTAGTTAGCCTTGATCTCTAGCTGAACGTACGATTTTGAGGCAACTCCTTCGAGCCCAACGAGACCATGACAGACTGTGCGGATGCCTGCACCAGCATGTCACAGAGTTTGTAGCGGGAGTTCTGATAAGATTATTCAATTTTTAGGCAGCGCTCCTGCGCGACTGCTTCCAAGGTAGTTGCCTGCATGGTCATTATGCCTCTGCCGACAGACCTTGGGAGGTGGCACTGGCTTTCAGCCCCACAGGCTGCGCTGAACTCCCAAGCCTTAAACCCTTGAACTACAAACCGCACATCCCAAAATATCTCACTCCCCGCCACGAAAAAGCCTACACTCAACACAAAACTCCTCGTTGCCTTCACCTGGACTCTGTACCCACATCCTCGACAGCGCACATAGTCCTGTCAGACACTCTGCGCAACCATTTTGTTGATCATCACCAAAAGAAATCTTGAATTGAATGATCCCCTTAGAGAAAAACTTCCATAATCTCCTTCCTGCATCCCCCCGTTACAGGATTCTCGGAGGATGTTTGAAACCCATCCGAGCCACTCACCTTGGCCTCCAATGCATAGCATTAAGAAGGCTGTAGGTTTGTAAAATTAGGGGCGGCTTAAGGTACAGGGTGTAGGGCTTAGGCTACAGGTTTAGGGTTTACAGCTTGGGTAAGAGTGTGCATTTTTTTTGTTGTCTGGTCTTTTT